TCTAGACAGGATTATTATGGGTAGTATTGAAATTATTATTAATTAGCTCTAACAAATGGGTCTGGAAGCATTTAATGCACAGAAAGAACACTGAAATCCCATTTTATTTGAGGTTTTTCTTCCATTTTGATTTCTAAATTCAATGATTAAAAAAAATGTAGTCAAATTAAATATGTCTATGTTTACTGTTAAAATATATATATTATTTTAAAAGATCAATTTTAAGATATCTTGTATTTATTTATTTTAGCACATAGATCCCCTTCTAGCCTGCTTCCTCTTCGTTTGACATGTTCTTTAACCACAGACTATGGGACTAAACCTCTTATATCTACCATCTCGTTGCCTTAGTCTTGAAAAGAAGTACCGGTAATTGAAAATCTTAAAATCCAGCAATATGAAGCAGGAATTAGTCTTTCCACTTCTTTACCTGAGATTTAGCTTCATTTTCAAATAGAGCTATGTCAGATATCGACATATCTTAAATATATTTTTGGCATAAATAATCCATAGATATATTTGGCATGTGGAGTTTAAAAGCATGACGTTGTTTTCTTTTTGCAAACAATAAACCTTCTAGGTGATGCAGTTTGGCCGGATTGATGGAAACGCCTACATCCTGGACTTCCAGTACCCCTTCTCTGCAGTTCAGGCATTCGCAGTGGCTTTGGCCAACGTCACTCAGCGCCTCAAATGAGATGTCTCATACCAACACCCCCTGAAACATACCTTAATTTTAAATGCAACCTGCTGAAGGAGCACAGTTGTTTGGTTTGGGGATTAAACTCTTAAAATGGATTTTGGAGAAAAAGACTGAAATCAACCGTGGAGAATAGATGGAAATGCAATCACACTGCACTACACAATGCTGCCACAAAACACGGTGCAATAAGCATTGACTGCGTTTGTTGGATCTGCTCCGTTCTGCATTCGGTGGCACCCACCAAGCACGTCGGGCCAAAGAGCTGAGCTTGGGTTATCATCATGCAAATAAATGCTGCTTTGGGTAGAGAACGTTTTTCTTTCTTTTCTTTTTTTTGTTCTTTTTTTCAGAAAGGTAAGATTGTTAAAGTGCAGTTAAAAACGCAGCAGTAATACTTGAAAACCACACTCTGGAGGTTAAATAACTTTTTCCAGAGCGCACAGGTACTACTGGGCACTGAAATCCATTGCTGTACAAAACTTTAGTGAAACAGTTACTACTTTATTAAACTGCTTTTGCTTATAGTTTATAAAATGAGGTTACATAGGTGAGGTTTTTGTTCTCTACCATTCCTGTTGTTTCTATCTCAGTCTGTTTAGGCTGGAAGTTAGGCTGATATATGCATCATTTAGGAGCACTACTAAAGTTACGACTTTTTACTGTTTCTGGAAGGAAAACAAGCATTGGTCTTTATCAAATCTGTTTTGAAGGATTAAAAAAAGGCACCCTGATTTACTTAATAATTTATATGTACACTTTGTTTAACTTTCCAGATATGGATTTTTTTTAATAAGAAAATACTGTTATTGTTGAAGATATTTACCCCTCAGATATTTTCATCCCATTTTTTTCTTAGCGGCTTTATTCGGGGACGGTGAGTTGAAATATTGCTGTACCCTCGGGAGTATTCAGGTGGGAGTGGTTTACAGAATAGCTTTGGCTGACATACGTCATACTTCAATATCTACATCTGGTGACACTGGCGCAAAAAAAAAAAGTCGCCAAGGCCTCGACTGAACAATTTAACCTCTGGCATGAAGTGATAATGTCACCTGTTGTCACTTCTGTGAAGTGAGTACGTATTTGGGAGCAGTCTTTGCTCTTTAGGACCACACTTAAACATCTAAGCATGGTACAGGAAATATTTTTGTATATTTCACCTTTGCCATTTCATACTCTTCTCAGAAGGCATGTAAATAAATTGGAGAGGTAAACGATGTAAAGAGACTTAAGAGGCTCTTAGAGGTTTACACCTCGGCTCCACTGTGTGTTATTTCAGGTGTGAAGTGAAGCTGTAACACCATAGAGTAACTGTTAAGCTAAAACGTCACTCAGTCTAATAAGACTACATTAAAGAATGAAGCTTAGGAAATCTATCTTCTTCGTAAGCTGACTGTGCAAACTGAGAGACATGTAAAGCTGTTTAATCGTGGGAAACGGTGAAGTGCAAAGGGCATATATGCATTCATTTCTGATTCCGCTAAAAAAGTGTTTTGGCCTAGTAAAAAAGGAAAGGTGCTGTATGGCTAAACCGAAATTTGTGCCAAAATATCTACTCGCAATTTTAGAATAAATATAGTCCAAAGGGGAAGAACCAATTGTATTTTCATAGTTGATTTTTTTTTGTGATTTATCACATTTGATGGCAATCTTTCCTGAATTTGAAAAGATGCATGTTGGTTGTAGGAATGGGGACTGAATGAAGATAAGAGAATAATTAAGAAAAAAAAAAACAACAAAAAAATAAAACTCAAGCATGTCATGACAAAACCCTTTTTTGTGTTAGCTGTGCAATATTTTGTAGGAGAAAATTATGTCTATGTTGCTTTCAACCATGTTTTGATACCGTTCTTTTAGTTCAGTATCTGAGATTGCTGGTCTGTGGATTTTAATTTATGAGATTATTTTCTGAAAGGATGAAACGTATCTATACATACTGTATATTGTGGAGTTTTCCAAACATTTTTTATGCGTTTTGATTTGTTTTTAACGAGTGTAGCCCAAGTTGTGGGGTTGGGGATGAGTTTGCTCTGGATTGTTATAAAAAGAAAAAAAAAAAGATGCGAATGAGTAGGGGCCCAGTTTAATGTAGATGGTAGACTAGTGTAAGTGTCCAGTCGAGGTGTGTTTGTGTTCAGCTGTGCAGTCAATCCCATCAGTGTTAAATCTATTATATTTAAATGTGTCATGGCTTCTACACATTCAAACACACAGTCTTCACTGAGTTGATGTTCAGCATTTCTTCTGGTCTTGGTTAAGCATTCACTTTAAACCACCAATGAACTGTGGTAGATATTTTAGGATTGGACTTTTTCTTTAGAAAATGTAGTTGCAGGTTCAGACTAAACTGACAAAAACACTTGAAAGAATCTGATGACTATGGTGACTGAACGTAAATAGTGGATGGATAGTAAGGCATGCCATGTAAATTATTTTATAACTGTATATGTCACTCATCTTTTTAATAAAAATGTCATTGTTTGAGAGAACATCGTGCCTTGCTTCTTGATATACAATTTTCTTTTCTTTTTTATAACTGAAGGTCATTTTGCTATAGTTCAGGCAAAGGGTCAAATGTGGAACTGGGTAGCCAGCAACACTGGAACACCACAATGGGTCTGTACTCTCACTTTTACACACACACAAAAAAAAAAAAAAACTGGAGTACAAGACAGACTCTTGATATCTGCAGAAAAACTCAGATGACTGGTTTTGGAGTGAAGCAGAGTTGGACAATACCCTGAAGCTTTGTGGAACAATGTGTAACATTAATCTCATCCTGATGTAAATAAAACAAAGGTGCTGATTCAAGAGAAACAGGCCAAACACTATTACCACGATGGGAGTAGAAGTGGAAGAGTGTAAATATCTTAGTGTTTCACCTAGACTTGGAAACACACCTGTAAGGCCCTCTACAAGAAGCGAGAGAGCAGGTAGTTCAGTTTAGGTTTTTAAGTGTTTGCATTAATCAGGATTCATGCGGGTCATTAAAAGTCATTAAAATATTCTTTTTTTAAATTAAGGCCTTAATTGGCATTAAAATTCATTAATTGTGATTATCGTGGCATTTAAAATGCTTTATTTAAACAAAGAAAATATGTTTATAAAACTGTTTTGTCAGATATATATCAATAATATATTTGTGCGGAACTGCTTCCGGTTGATCTTAAAGCCATGTGTTTGGAAAAGAAGCTTGAGGTGGAGAAAAAGCTACAGAATGGAAAAATGCAAATTTCAACAAAAGTGGCTGGAAAACGAGGTATTTGGGACATGGAAGCAGCCAATCAATGGCAAAGATGACGAAGGATTTTGCTGTTTATATTTATATATACATGTGTGTGTGTATGTATATGTGTGTATATATGTATTAGTGTATATATGTATGTGTGCATATGTGTATGTATATATATGTGTATATAAGTGTATATATGTATATATATATAAATGTGTATATGTATGCATATATATGTGTATATGTATGCATATAAATGTGTATATGTATGCATATAAATGTGTATATGTATGCATATATATATAT